GCAACAATGAAGGCCACCAGATACGTGCTCATGTTGACATTGGTCTTTTCAAACTCGTCCAGCACAAGTCCATTGGATAGATTTGTAGTTCTGACCTGAAACACACAACAGAAGAGGGAGATATTGATAGACTGAGCTTGTTAGTAACTAAGACTGTTGTAAAATAAAGTACTGCAAATTAATATTAAAAAAAAAACTTGTGATCATGCCCATATTAGGGGCGTATTAAACAGCTGCGCAGTCATCGATATGCTGTGCACATACATAGTTTCTCCTTTAAAGACAAAACAAAGCAGCTTTTTATTGAAGTATACCATAAATCGTAAATCGTATGTAACAAAACTAGCCTCTGATTTAAGTCAGATCTTTAGTTTGAGTCATGTTCTGAAAGCTCTTTCATATGAACTGTAAAGTGAAAAAAACATTAACTACTATTAAACAAAAATACATTTGGAAGTTTTCAGCTTTTGTTCCATTAATGTGCATATCTAGTCTTATATTACCAACATGAGTTAAAGATTTTGAGACTCGAATGTAAACTTTTCATTTGGTTTCAGGTTTTTGTTCAATTATTATTTTTATTTTTTTAAGTAATGCACTGTTACATCTTTTTATTTTTCAGCTTTTACTTGGGTATTGCTTTTTTGTTTTTGTGTACAAAACTTAAGTCAGCTTAGGTTTATTGTTATTAAATAATAGTAATAAAAAACAAAGGTATTTGTTCATATCTCAAAATTGTAGCTTTGTTTAAAGTTTTTGTTTTCAGTAGGGGTTTAGCAGACAAATTAACTTGATATTCTTTAAAAACATATTCTAGGGTAACACAGGGACGAAGAAGAAGAAGGACAGAATGCAAGATTTGATTGATATCGGTTTTGGTTACGATGAAACGGATCCATTTATAGACAACTCAGAAGCTGTGAGTATCTTTGTTTTACTTTTCAAAGAATYATCTGTTTTTTTTTTCAGTGAGTTTTGAAGACATGCAGGAATATTTAAACATTTTCAAGGAAGGTTCTGTGGAAGGATTATGAACAAATAATATCTAACCTGTTGCAGATACCTCTTTGAATGAACTGCGTTTGGAGATGTTAACTTTATTTTTTATGGCAGTAGCAGCTAGTCCAAACTAGGGCTGCACAATATATTAAAAATTTATCGTCATCGTGATAACCGCCTGGATTACTGTTGTATTATGTCAGCTCTGATCACAGTTATTTACATGAAATAATGTAATTATTACAGCAGCAGCTAGCTGTATAACTTGCGGTTTAGCCAGGGTATCTACAGCAGGTGAGATATTAATTGTTCATAAACTTTTCACAAAACTCCACTTAAAAATATCTTAGATGTCTCTTTTGAAGTTTTTTTAAACCATCATATTAGTTTCTCTAATATTTGTGCATAATCTACTGATGTTTTTGCTGTTGTGTTGCTGTATTGAGGTAGAAATCATCACATTTTTCATTAAATATGTATTTCCCACCTTGATGGTTCAATCAGATCTACGTCTAAAGATAGAAAGAAGTCCCTCATTACAGGATATCTGTACCCTTGTGGTTGTTTTTACTCCTTTTTCCCCAGAAAGTGTTTGTTTCCTGATATTCAGAAGATATAACTTAGAGTCTGGCCTTAATAGCTAAAATTATGCTTTTTGGATCAGTTTCCAGCCTTTAAACAAGATTTGTTTTGGTGTTTGATAGCTGTCCTCTCTGCCCTCACATATTTACTGTCTGTTTGATATTTTATTCTTTTGTTTTGAAAAGCGATGTAGATTGAAGCGGTACTGATGTGGTTTTTTTAGTGATTTGTTTACTTTGGTTCATAATAGATTGTTTTTGTTGACCAAATAAAAGAACAGAAAGAATGCTGTTTGTAAAATATTAACAAAACACACCATCATTTACAGCACGGCCCTGTTTACGAGATGCAGTTTTTTAAATTGAGACCATAACATTTCTGCTATTTTAGTAACCTGACATGGAAAATACTGTAGATTTAATGAGCACCTCATGTAAACATGCATCTTATCCATAATCAACATTGTTTCCAGAGATTGCTGAGGTACAAACATGGCTTAAATCTTTTTAAATCCGCAAACTGTGTTTCCGTTTGGTTGTGTAAGTGGTCTCATTGTTTTCTACGGTCCTGTGAGTTCACACCACAAACTGTCCTCCATTGTTGTTCCTCTCACAGTATGATGAGCTGGTGCCTGCATCTCTGACCACAAAGCTTGGGGGATTTTACATCAACACTGGAACGCTGCAGTTCAGAGCGACCTCTGATTCAGAGGGGGAGGAGGACAAGGTGAGACAACTACAACTCATCCTTATTAAAGAAAGAGTTCAAAGCAAAGATTTGAAACATCTTAGTTTGATTTATGTGTAAACCTTGTGTTTGTATGTTACCAAATTTTAATGAAACTTTCAGAAATTAATCATTGGGTGTACATCTACAACTCATTACCTGTTTAAGTCAGTCTGATTCAAGGTGGCTACCACAGCTGATTGATCTTAGCAAGCACAAACATAACTTAGTCAACTCTACAGATATCATGATAAAATTTCATGTTGTTCCATGTGAGCGTTTTGCACTCAACTTTGTCTATATATTGGAAAACAAAAACTAACAATTTAAGATGGCCGCCACAGCTAATTAACGTTAGTGATTAAAAAATATTATTATAATTCAGTCAATTTATGAGAAATTGTTAAGTTGTACGGAACCCACTGTTCACGTGTTGGTTGATTKGTTGAGAGGTATGGGGCAGGGAGGAGGAGTCAAGGAGAAAAAAAAAGTTTTGTACAAAGTGTTCAGATGGTTTTGTTATGGTGGCCATTAAACTGGAGATTCTACCATCAGCGGTGTCATTATTGAATTAACAATATTGCGCTGAAATTTAATATAGTTGAAGCATGAGATTAAATATAACATTTTTTCAAAATTTAGAGATGTGTTTCGGATAATTGGGGGCTGCAAATTTTGCATGCAAGTTTGCTCGCTGTGGCGACCCCTGCAGAAGACAGCAGCCGAAGGAAAAAGAAACAACATATTATTAGATTAAAAAAAGACATCAACAGACCTTCTACTTCGTATGAAAATGTTTTGCTTAATTTAAAAACTGTAGAGTAGTCCCAAGCTTGTTATCCTGCATGAGTGGCTCTTTTATATAACCTGGATTAACTTGCAGATTAAACCACCACCTTTCATGTTTTTAATTTGCTTTTAAATTTTCTGTTTAAATATTTTTTAGAGTAATACGTCTCTTAAGTTTTTTTTGCAGGACATTATCCAAAGTGGACATCTGTTGTTTTTCCACTTAAATTCAGTCCAGTCAATTATTTGTCATCRCTTGACACTGAACGAATCATTGAAACAAACAAAAAAAGAACACAAAGTTTGTTTTTTCACTGTTCAGTAATGACAAAAACAAATTTGCTGTGTTTGTGTGTTTTGTGGATAATACAAAACACATGCCAAGACCTTAGCACAGAACAGTAGCCTTTCAAATGTTTTTCAGATATTAAAAAAATCTATTTTATGACTTTTCTCTTGTTAGAAGCTGAACAACGATACAGAGCAGGTGGTTAAGAAGAGGAAAAAGGAGGTGAATAATGTTGAAGAGAAGAACTTGAAGAACAGCTTACCTAAACAAGGGTAAGAACGAATTTTTCTAAAGCAGTTTTTCACCTATGAACATCAGAAAAAGGCTGATGGATCGAGTCTGAACTTGTCTGTTTGTTTATTCACGCCAACATGAGACTGTTTGTGTGAGACTTGGTTTAACCCTTTATTTTACCYATTTGCCTGAAAAGAGCGTGCGGTTTTTCCCCTGGGGAACACTAACTCATAAAGTTAAAGAAGCTTCTGAGGGTTAAAGTCRTGATTTAAATTTGTTTTAAATGCCTCCTTTAGACAGCAAAGGCCACAGCTTAAATGTGACAAACCTTTTTTTCTGGTGGTCTTGTCCTGATAACGACCCACCGCACAGTCTTCTGCATTGGCACATTGCTTCTCGCAGATCTGTCAGGAGGCAGGSATGCTGATGGAGACTTGCACTTAGCTGCTGTGACAAGCCAACCACCTTTAGAAAATGCTCCATTATCCACGCTCAGAGATGCTGAATAAAACAAAGCACCAGCTTTCTGAAAACACTTTCTAAAAATAGCAATGGCTATTGTGATTCTGCCATTATGAAATGGAAGATGTTATATATTATGTGTGTGAGAGAGAAAGAAGCTGCAGGTTAATCCTTCATAGTCCTGATAGTTCCCCACTTTGTCAGCATGTGCTGAAGCTTTTATTGCCTAAGGTCAGCAGGAGAATTATTATTTTTTAATTTTACAAAGGGAGTGAAGTCGCCCTATAGTCAGAGTTCAAAATAGCTGCCCAGGTTTCAGCTGGATAGGCTGCTGACTAATTGAGACTTAAATGGTTGGATTAAAAGTGGGTGTCCAGTGTTTCCCCTAGGAAATTGGTCTTTTGGGGTGGGGGGGTATAAACCTCAAATCATGTCCTTTCTAAGAATTAGAACTCTCTTGTAG